AGAATACCCACATCTGGAGCAACTCGATCGTGTTAATAGGCCTGCACCAGCGGGTGGTTGTCGAGGGTAGCGGCTGGTACCCACATGTCGTCATAGCACATACGGTAAACCCAGATACCAGAAACTCCAAAATCCGTTGACCTTGGTCGCGGCGGGTTCAGTGGTAGAGGATCTGCTGTGGTTCGATAGTTGGCTCGGGGACGGATCTGATCGAAGGATAGAGTCGTTGACTGTCAAAGGACGCTGACGCGAAATGAATCATGGATACGCTAGTCATCCGGTAAAAGTAACTTGGCAGTGACAGGTGTCACCATTCCAACAAATCGGAAGGGCCCACAGAATCTCGGTCGGAGTTTATGTGGTAAACTCAACCCTAAATTCTTGGTGTCCAGAAGGACTAGTTGCCCAAGGGACAAGGGTAAATCCTGTCTATGCTTATCCATATACCTTTTAGCTGTAAGGTTGGCTTTTGAAATAGCCTCGGTAGCGTTTTTCTATGGAGTCTGTAAGTCCTTGATGAACAGTTGCGACCATGGGGCACAACTCTCTACTAAGGGTGTAGAGGGAATCATGGGGTTTAGACCGTAATTAAGGTAGAACGGTGATTGGGCGGGCGTGGATGAAGGAGTGTTGTCATACGTGAACTCGATCCGGGGGAGAGAATCTTCCCATTGGGTCGGGTCGATACAGGTTGTCCGTATCAGGTGCTCCATGGTCCGATTTATCCATTCAGTCTGACCGTTGGTCTGTGGGTGGTAAGCCGTGGACAGATGGGGACGTGTACCGTACTGTTCCCACATTTTTGTCCAAATTTGGATGTAAATCAAGGGTCATGATCACTCACGATCGCCTTCAAGATTCCGTGCATGCGAACGACTGTTGAGATGAATAGCCTGGCAGTTTGCTCGGCTGTGATCGTCGTTCGGGATGGCGCGAAATGAGCCATTTTTGTGTCGATCAACGACCACGAGTACAGCATCATTCTGGGATGTGCCGGCCGACAGTCCTGTCACGAAGTCCATGCACACATGTGTCCAGGGCTTTATGGGCGGTTCTAACGGTTGCAGTAATCCAGCTGGCTTTTAGCGAAAGGATTTCAGCAGCTGCACATCATGGCTCACATTTGGCCAGTAACAATGACGTTGGAGCATCTTCAAGGTTTTGTCAACCTCGAAATGTCCTGAGCAATTAGCGTCATGAACCTCCTGCATCAGTAATTCATGTAACAGCCGGTAGGATGGGACCCAAATTCGGCCAGTACCAGCTTTTAGGTGGTAGTGGCCTCGTTGAGTGGTCAGGGCCTGGTGGTCGTTAGAGGCACAAAGGGGGTCAGTATTGTAGCCGTGGGTAAACAGTCGGATTAGCAGTGGATTAGCTTGGATGATTAGTACGACGCCTGTATGGGCATTGGGCGAGAAAGGGCATCGGCAATATTTTTTGTCCCTTTCTTGTAGGTGATTCAGTAGTGGAAATTGGACTCGAGATATTCGAGCCAACGGATCTGACGTGGATTGAGGGTCGGTTGGGCTCGGAGGAACTGTAGGGACTTGTGGTATGTTCGAACAGTAACGTTGGCACCTGATAGGTAGCAGGGCTAGGTCTTGAAAGTGTGGACGATTGCGACATTTCCTTGTCGTGAACCGGGGAATTCTGTTCAGCGACTTGGAGTTTTCGCGAGTCATAGGCGATTGGTTGCAGGCCTTCGCCAAAGTCCTGTAAGAGTACCGTGCAACCGGCGATGTCGCTAGCATCCGTAACCAGTTCGTTTGGGCGGTTGGGGTCAACGATACGAAGGACAGGTGGTGTCATGAGGAAAGTCTTCAGTTGGTCAAACGCAGCTTGCTGCCTCTCCCCCCACTAAAAAAAAACTCCCTTCTGCAGCAAGTCGGTTAGCCGGGCAGTTGACTCTGCCATTTTAGGGATAAAATGGCGCACGTAGTTGACGAACCCCAGAAAGCTCTGCAAATTCTTGACGTTGGTAGGCGGCTCCCAGTTGCGGATGGTAGCGATTTTTTTCGGGTCAATTTTAACGCCTTCGGTGGAGATGACGTGGCCTAGGAAATCCAACTCCTCCTTTAAGAATTCACACTTAGAGGCTTTGGTGATGAGGCGGTGTTGATCGCAGAGGTTGAACACTGCTTCGAGGTCCTTCAAATGTTGTTCCCGAGAGGTGTTGTACACCAGGATGTCATCAAGGTAGACGATGGCGTACTTGTCCAGTAGCGAGTGGAAGACTTCGTTCATGGTCAGTTAAACATTTGAGCGTGCGTTCGTCAACCCAAACGGCATCACTGTATACGCATAACTTCCGTAATGTGTTGAAAATGCAATCTTCGGCAACACGAATCTGATGGTAACCTCCTCGTAGATCAATCTTGGAAAAAAATCCTGGCCCCACGAAGCTGGTCGATGAGGTCGTCGGCTCTTGGAATCGGGTAACCCGACTTGATGGTGATATTGTTGAGCGCGCGATAGTCGGTGCACATCTGAAGCCCTCCATCCTTTGTAGGGGTGAAGAGGATCGGCGCGGCGTAGGGTGGCATGGATGGGCGGATGAAAATTTTTTCCAACAGATAATCCAGTTGCGTACGCAGCTCAATTAGATCTGGTTGACTCAGTCTCCATTGAGATTGGACGGTCGGTTGTGCTCCTGGTTCCAGCTCAATCTTGTGATCGTGTGGTCGTTTGAGGGGTAGTCCGGGCGGCAAGTCGTCGGGAAATATCTTCTCGAATTTTTGCATGATCTTTGCCATGTCCTCAGGGACAGCAGCACACAACTTCTCTAGGTCAGTTAGTTCAGCCACCTCCGTTGATGCGATCCATTGGACGGCGTAAACGTCCATGCGACGTGCCATCACGCGCTTGATGGCTGCATTATTCACTAGTGTCTACAGAGGATCAAGTGGTTTCCACTTCGGCAGGCGTCACCACTCGCCGCCCCACTTCAAACGAATGTCGCCATTCGTCCAATCGATGCTCCAATTGTACGTGCGAAGCCAATCGCGCCCCAGGAGCACATTGCAGTTGTCCAATGTTGTCGTCAGCATCTACAGTGCGAAGCTGACTTGGCTGTCGCAATCAATGCGAACGTGTTTTAGCCGCTCCCGAATTGCAAGAGGCGTGCCGTCAACCAATCGCGCGTCAATTTCGAGCATGCACCTCTCCATTTGCAGCTGCGGCTTCTTCGCTCTTATCACATTGAACAGACTGTATGGTGCTCCACCATCCACGAATATTTTTAATCTTGTGTTGACAACTCTCCCTTCCACCAACATAGGGCAGTCAACAGGTTCACTCCCCTTTAATCGGGTGTGGTCGATCGCATAGGTCCGCACTAATACTCGGTGGGAATGGTGATTTTGGGGCGACAAAGCCTCATCAGTAGGGAGCCCGACTGCTACTGATGCTGTCCATTTCTCAACTTCCTTCCGTCGTTAGCTCCCGATTTCTGCAAATCCGGACAGTCCTCCATGATGTGCCTCGGCTGGCCACATTTATAACACCTGCCAGAAAGTCTATTATCTGATGGTGCCGCCATGTCATTGATGGATGGGTAGCTGTTCTGCCCTCGAAAATGACTTCCCTCCTGGAAATTCGCCCTCGGCCATAACATGTTCTCGTCCCACGCCTCTACGACCTGTTGCACCTCCAGGAACGTCGCCGGGAAGCGTATGCAAATTTCTCGCTAGACCTCCGTCTTCAGCCCTAGGATGTAACGACTCATTTTCTCCGTCTCATGTAGATCGTCGATTTCGGCGCAGATGGCGAGGAATGATGATGTGTATTCTAGGACAGAGCCTAGTTGACGCCACCTGTGCAGCTTCATATGGACGTTTTTGCATGCGGATACATGCTCGAAGCGCTTGCGAAGCAGTGCACCCCATTGTTGTCAGGTAAGGATCTCGGCCACACCAAATAGGGATCCTGTAGAAGTTGAAGCCAATCATTGCTCCATGTCCATCGCATGTTGCTGGTCTGCTGGAGTCCCTCATGACATCACGTACTGTCGCCACCAACTTAATGCAGGTTCGCGTGATAAAGACACCGCCAACTTGACGCTGTCTCATCGTCGTTGACATCGGCGACATTGAAGAACAGTCCCATGGCAAATAGCCACCCACTCAGCGTGGTGTGCTTCTCCAGCGGGTTGAACTGTCGTTACGTGTTCCTGCCATTGCCTGCGGTTGATGCGCGCTCGCACGGTCTTCGTCCGCGGTAACAGGCGACTCCTGACACGTCGCACCACGCGCCTGGCGAAGGCTCACGTTCTCATCTCTCAACTCAGCGAGCTCGATGGCCATGGCCTCCATCTTCGCCATCATCTCGCCGACCTTCGTCCTCAGCACTGACGCGCTTGCTGCCGCCTCTGACAACTCAGCTATTTACTCGGGAGTCATATTTCTAGTACTACGGCAAGGAGGGCTATTGACAAATGAATTACCCTAACTAGTTAACGCCACTAAAGACACTACGTGCACCTGCAGTGTTAGAGACGTGAAGCGCACACGTCAAAGTCGGCGGAACTGAAGTTCCTGCACGACCGCTGGACAGCTCCTATCTCTTAACGTTCAAGGTCCCTCTAAAAATTACCTCACTACGGAAGCCGAAATGGGCAGGAACGTAGTTCTGATACCAGCTGTTATGATAATCTTCTGATAGAAGTTGAGTAATGCAATAGTGAGGTCGTGATTAAGGCCCAGATCCCAAGTTGCAAGGCGCGAGCCTTTTTGTTAACAATTTCGGAAGGGGTCTGAGTGGTTACCCTGTACAAATTGGGAACAGTGAACAATTGGGGGGGAGGATGGAGAAGGGAAGCGTGTGATTGGACGATGGGGGGAATGGCCAAGGGGAAGATCACACGCTTCCCTTCTCCATCCTCCCCCCCAATAGAGGGAGGAAATAGAGGGATTGGACGATGGTTTCGCGAACCCAGCAGACTCCAATAGAGGGAGGAAATGGCCAAGGGGAAGCCCCGAAGCTTGCAATTTGGGACTGCCATAAACCATTTTGTTTACAAAATGGAGTCATGCGTAGCATTTCCCTCTTGCCTAGTCCTCTCGTCACCGTGCTCCAGGGCTACCGAGAGCAAATCGCGCTGGTTAGCTTGCCACCTCACTCCGCGTAGCATCCCGCTCCCCACTGCCCACCGCTACCCTAATCCTGGGCAGTTAGGTTTTTTAGAATTCTAAAAAAAACTAATCCTGCTTGGCATATATTCCCGCTTCCGCCACTAGCTGCGCCGAGCTGCCTGCAACCGCCCATTACCTGCTCTTCCCCGCCGTCGGTGCTGGTGGGCTGCAAAGGGGAACCCACTTCCCGCCGTCGGTGCTGGTGGGCGACCCGCCGACCGCGCATAGCTCATCTCAACCCCGCGGCCATGCCGTGTCACGTTGCTTTCCACAGCTAGAACCCAAGCAGGGAGGAAGAGAGGCGATCGAGCAGGGAGGAAGAGAGGCAATCGAGTAGGGAGGAAGAGAGGTGATTGAGCAGGGAGGAAGAGAGGCGTTCGAGCAGGGAGGAAGAGAGGCGATCGAGCAGGGAGGGAGAGAGGCGATAGAGTAGGGAGGACGTGAGGAGATAGAACAGGGAGGGAGAGAGGCGATCGAGCAGGGAGGAAGAGAGGCGAGCGTAGAAGGAAGGGAGAGGGGCGAACGAGCAGGGAGGGAGAGAGGCGATACAGCAGGGAGGGAGAGAGGCGATAGGGCAGGGAGGAAGAGAGGCGAGCGTAGAAGGGAGGGAGAGAGGCGAACGAGCAGGGAGGGAGAGAGGCGATAGATCAGGGAGGGAGAGAGGCGAGCGTAGAAGGGAAGGAGAGAGGCGAACGAGCAGGGAGGGAGAGAGGCGATACAGCAGGGAGGACGAGAGGAGATATGGCAAGGAGGAAGAAAGGCGATCGAGCAGGGATGGAGAGAGGCGATAGAGCAGGGAGGACGAGAGGCGATAGAACAAGGAGGGAGAGAGGCGATAGAGTGGGGAGGAGGAAAGGCGATAGAGTGGGGAGGAAGAGAGGCGATAGAGAGTGGGGAGGAAGAGAGGCGATAGAGCGGGGAGGAAGAGAGGCGATAGAGCGGGGAGGAAGAGAGGCAATAGAGCGGGGAGGAAGAGAGGCGATAGAGGGGGGAGGAGGAGAGGCGATAGAGCGGGGAGGAAGAGAGGCGATAGAGCGGGGAGGAAGAGAGGCGATAGAGCGGGGAGGAAGGGAGGCAATAGAGGGGGGAGGAAGAGAGGCGATAGAGCGGGGAGGAAGAGAGGCGATAGAGGATAGAGGGGGGAGGAAGAGAGGCGATAGAGCGGGGAGGAAGAGAGGTGATAGAGTGGGGCGAGAGAGAGGCGATAGAGTGGGGAGGAGGAGAAGGGAGAGATCAGGAAGGAAGAGAGGCGAAAGAGCATGGAATATGAGAAGCGATAGAGCAAGGAGCAAGGAGAAAGAGATCAGGGAGGAATAGAGGCGCATAAGAACATGGAGGAATACAGGCACGAGGCCTCTAGGGGGGAAGAGAGGAGAGAGAGGTCGGGGGAAGAGAGGCGAGAGCGTGGGGAGAAAGAGAGGCGACAAAGGGAAGGGACGGGAGTGAGGCAAGGGCGGTAGGGAAGGAGAGCGGAGTGAGAGAAGGGGAGGGAGAGAGGCGTGAGAGTGCGGGGAGAGTGTTGGAGCAGGGAAGGGTTAGCCGAGTAAGAGCGCAGGAGGGGGAGAGGAGGGAGAGCAAGGGAGGAGGGAGGAGGGAGAGCAGGGGAGGAGGAGAGGAGGGCAGGGGAGGGGGGCGTGGAGGGCGATCAGGGAAGGGTGAGATGCGCGAGAGCAGGGGAGGGGGGACGGCAGGAGAACGCGGGAGAGACTAAGGCATGAGAGATGTGAGGGAGTGTAGGCTAGGGATTGTGGGGAGGTGAGTGTGGGCAAGGGTTTATGGGGGAGATGAGTATGGGCAAGGGATTGTGGGGAGGTGTTCGCAGCTTGAACACATGTGGGGGGGGGAGGGACAGCGACAGCTCGTGTGAGGGGGGGAAAAAGGGCAGCATGTGGGTGACCCAAGTGTAGAACAGTGGGGAGGGCAGAACAGTGGGAGTGAGCCAAGAGCAGGGAGCGAGAGCGTCACTGGTGAGAGACACTGGAAGGAGAGCAAGAGCGAGAGCAGGGAGGGAGAGATACCAGGGTGCAGGGAGGGAGAGAGACCAGGGTGCAGGGAGGGAGAGCGAGAAGAGAGCAGGGAAGGAGAGAGACCACGGTGCAGGGAGGGAGAGAGACCAGGGTGCAGGGAGGGAGAGAGACCAGGGTGCAGGGAGGGAGAGGGTCCCCTCCCCGCCCTTGGGGGTAGGAGAGGAGGTGGCTCGTGAGAGGCACTTTGTCCCCCTTTCACTGCTACTTATGTCTTCATTTCGCCAATCCCCTGTTGTCCCAATGTTTACAGGTAACCCACGGCCCATGAGGATGGAGGGTATAGGCGTGGCGCACCCGGTCACATGGCGGAACTAGTCAACCTGCAGTTAAATTTGGGAGAACACCAGAGTTATTGGCTGTTTAGTTGCTTGCTGCTTCCAAGCTTTTCAAAGCAGCTTGAACAATGAACACCAAGTAGGCATCTGACTGCTCTGGAATTTGTTACATATAACCATAGACTTCTGCATGTATGCATAGATCCTAGCCACCACCTTGATCCTCGTAGCTACAGCCATAGGCCCCCTGAAGCATGTACCGGTAGCTTATTCTTACGCCCCAGTATAATGCCCTTCCACATTTGGCCCTAGTCTGATAAGTATCGGCAGGATCCGAGGAAATGAATCCTGATTGTAGCCCCCCATTGGGGCTTTGAGCCACATAGCAGTGGGAAAGCTGAACGCCAGGGCCAGGTCGTCGCATTCTTGCTCCCTGCTCACCCTCTGGCCATCCACACGCTCACCGCCCCATGCTCCCCTGGTCCATGCTGTCCTGCCTCTCTCCCTCCCTGCTGTCCTGCCTCTCTCCCTCCCTGCTGTCCTGCCTCTCTCCCTCCCTGCTGTCCTGCCTCTCTCCCTCCCTGCTGTCCTGCCTCTCTCCCTCCCTGCTGTCCTGCCTCTCTCCCTCCCTGCTGTCCTGCCTCTCTCCCTCCCTGCTGTCCTGCCTCTCTCCCTCCCTGCTGTCCTGCCTCTCTCCCTCCCTGCTGTCCTGCCTCTCTCCCTCCTTGCTCTCCTGCCTCTCTCCCTCCCTGCTCTCCTGCCTCTCTCCCTCCCTGCTCTCCTGCCTCTCTCCCTCCCTGCTGTCCTGCCTCTCTCCCTCCTGCTGTCCTGCCTCTCCCCTCCCTGCTGTCCTGCCTCTCTCCCTCCCTGCTGTCCTGCCTCTCTCCCTCCCTGCTCTCCTGCCTCTCTCCCTCCCTGCTGTCCTGCCTCTCTCCCTCCTGCTGTCTTGCCTCTCTCCCTCCCTGCTCTCCTGCCTCTCTCCCTCCCTGCTGTCCTGCCCCTCTCCCTCCCTGCTGTCCTGCCTCTCTCCCTCCCTGCTGTGGGACAGGGGGGGGGACAGGAAGGGGGAGCAGAGTACAGGTGAGGGACAGGGGGGAGGACAGGAAGGGGGGATCAGAGGAAAGGTGAGGGACAGGGGAGGTGTAGGGAGCACAAGGGAGATTGGGGGATCACATGGCAGACGGAGGGGAGGGCATGGCAGATTATGGGCGAGATATCGAATGAGGGGGGAGCATGGCAAAACAGGGGGAAGTGAGGCGGAATAAGGGATGGGAATCGGGGGAGGGAATAAAGATATGGAGTCGGGGGGGATAAGGGAAGGGAGTGGGGGGAATCAGGGAGGGCATTGGGGGGAATATGGAGTGGTGGGGGATAAGGGAAGGAAGTGGGGGGAATCAGGGAGGGTATTGGGGGGAATATGGAGTGGTGGGGGATAAGGGAAGGGAGTGGGGGGAATCATGGAGGGTATTGGGGGGAATATGGAGTGGTGGGGGATAAGGGAAGGGAGTGGGGGGAATCAGGGAGGATATTGGGGGGAATATGGGATGAGGGAATGAGGGTAGGGAGTTGTGGGAACAAAGGAATGGTATTGGGGGGATATGAGAGAGGGAGCACTCTTCGTGGCTTTTGCACCCATGGGTCCGCCCCATCTCGGCCTCGCTTCTTCCCTTCTGCACCTTGCTCCTCCCTTCCGCACCTCGCTCCTCCCTTCCGCATCCCAAAAATTAGGGTGGCAATATGTTACCCCCAAGAATACCACAAGTGACCTTGGGGTTTCGCGCCTGGGGGTAACCCTGGGGCTTCCGACTGGGTCACCTCGGGAAAACCAGCGGCCAGAATGCCTTTCGATGTAACCCTCGGGATTCCCTCGTAATGTCACCGTCGCGACACCAACTTGTCACCTTCGGGTGTGTCGGGGGGAACGTGACGTGAACCTTTTGAGGGGTTCTTATCCCCGTCAAACCGTGAACGCATTTGTGGTTAAGGAGTACACTTGCGCGAGAACATGATGACCCTTATGCGCAAAACAATAGCACACAAAATCCTCGTCACTGGCGCCCCGATACGAAATATCACACTATACTCAACATATCATATGTTTTTACTACTTACCTCGATAGTAGCACAACCACTACATTAACAGGCCTATATGTATTTATGAGTTTACTGTAGCACTAAGTGCAACTTCGTTTTGAGGCGTTGTAAAACTCCTTATTACGCACATATAATTGTTACAAAAGCTTAGCTTATCGCCATTACAATCAGTTTTATCACAACACAAAGCATGCAAAACAAAGTGGTTAATTTGGCTGCAATTACCTAGAGTTTTGCACAGATTCCCTCTCCTCCTAACACCAACTTGGCGTATTAGCTAAGCTTGCCTACGCATACCACCAGCACCTCTTTCCCAGCCTACACAAGCACCGCTGCTGCATGGCCATCTGGCTGGTTATAGCCATTTGCTGCACACACGAACATTGTCAAGGAAAATTTCAGGTGTGAAAGAGCGGCCAACATCCACCCTTGCACAGGCCCGCATAAGTGTGGGTTTAAAGCAATTCCACGTAGACGTCCACTTACCCCATGGCAGTTGCACAAAATTATCAACGAATGAAGACCAGCTATACAAGGAGGGGAGGGGGAGGGGGGGATGGGAGGGGGGGAAGGGAGGGGGGGACAATGAGGATGGCGAGGAAAGGAGGGGAGACAAAGGCTGTAAGGTAAAGAGCATGGGATGACGAGTAGGATCCGAACACAAGGGGGGCAATGAGAAAGTGCTACAATCATACCTGAATACGGCGAGGAGCCACTTGAGCTTGATAGGGACGCGTGGCGAGCACCGCGAGAAGCTCACACATCCCGCTTGTCGTGCACCGTGAGTAGCTCGTGCGTCCCGCCCAACGTGCATCGCAAGAAGCTCACGCGCCCGACGTGCACTGCGAGAAGATGCGCGAAAGGCCTAGGGGAATGGTAAGGAGGGAAAATACGGGAGGAAGATGGAAAAAGATGATGCTCATAGGAATAGAAAACTCGAACAGAAACAACAGGCTGGCTCAGGACGACGTTGCCACAAAACGTGTCTGACATACCCGTCTAGAAGACGTGTTTTGCTTTCTTCGACTATGGACACTGCTCGTTGCCCTCACCCTTCAGCCCGAATGCGCGTCGCGAAGCTTTAAGCAAAACAAGCACACACGAGGAAGAGCATGGGGAAAATACATGGCGATACCGAGGATTAGACAGTTGCAATAGTTTAGGTAGCTGGGAAAAACGTACTACGCAGCGCTGGGCGCATTTCTGTCTATGTAATGCTCGTGTAGGAAAAACGTAGACATGCATAAGGGACGAACTGTGAAAGTTGATGGGTTTCGGGTTGAGTCTATAGTTTATGTATGACTGGGTTTTGTTGTCACAGTTAGGTGTTGTTATTTGGGTCGTATCCAGTGAGCCGAATGGAGGAAAAATTCATACCAAAAGAGACACTAAAGGAAGCTGTTTTACATCACATGTGTCGACAGCTGATGGCACCGAGTATTATATACTTGAATCCCAAGACGCCGAGCACGCCCTACAATTTTTTGGGTGTACACACGAAGCCAGGAGGTTCGCTCAAACTTGGATAAGTCGAGAAATCGGCCAATGGGTATAAACCTAACGATGCATTCATTGGTCAGCCAGTCGAGGCTCACCCATCACTTTCAAACACCGTTATACATGTTTTGTCAAAAGACAAACATCATTCGCTTGTTTTGTCCATCATATGACATGCTTCTACACGAAATTCACTTCTCGGGTTAAGTCTAGTCTGAGGATTGAGGCTCGGCTAGCGACTTGGTCCGGGCCCAACCTGTGAAGTTGCCTGCAAGTCACCTCCAACTGAGCTTGCACCCTATTGGCTGGTCGGACCCCACGCGAGAATTGACGAAAATTTCGCGAGTGTCGTGCGCGTCGCCACTGCCCGCAGGTAACCCCGAGGGGTCTTGCGTGGAACTTTGGGTAGTCTAGGGTGAGGTTACCCACGGGTGTCCCACACTCCGAAGGGCAGAATGGGTTTCAGGAATTTTGGGATGCGCACCTTGCTCCTCCCTTCCGCACCTCGCTCCTCCCTTCCGTACCTCGCTCCTCCCTTCCGCACCTCGCTCCTTCCTTCCGCACCTCGCTCCTTCCTTCCGCACCTTGCTCCTCCCTTCCACACCTCTCCTCTTTCCTTCCGCATTCCGCTCCTCCCATCCGCTAGATATTTCAAGGTGGTACAGGCAGGGGCACGGGAACACGTTTCTCTCTCTCCACCCGCAACTCTCAAACCCCGAGTCTCTGGCTTAGGATTGCGTCTTTCGCGCTGTGCATAATCGACTCACAGTGGTAACTGGCGACGCTAAGAACGGATGGATGTAGAGCTGGAAAGATTCTGGCTCACATAAATTCCGTGCGGAAAGCGACACATATCTGTGCAGAGTCTGGCGTCTTTTTTTTAGCAGCGTTTTTGCCGTTGTTCGCGTCTGTAATTTAGTTTCATTGCCCCTAGCGTGTTTGCCGCTGGGCACAATCTGGTGCTTGCCTGGTGGCTTTGTGTGTGCGAAGGGGCAGATTGGTTTGGTTTTGTTTCGCAATTCCAATTTTGAAAGTCTGGTTCCTCGTCACTTTCGTAGCCAATCGGTACCCTCTCGCCCTCTCCCGAGCCGCGCACTGCAAATCTGCTATTCGCGGCTTGCAACTTGGGACCTGGGCTTTAAAGTGTGTCGAGTACAAATGAAGGACGGGGCTAAATACAAGCTCAGGTAGTCTAGCAAGGGGGCCTCGAGGAAGGCCACGAAACGCACGCGATGTGGTTTGGGGGCCTTCGGGACTCGGAAGTGTTGGATGTGACGCCGCGTGCGTAGTTTGAACCTGAAATGTGGGGCCGAGCCTGGACTTCCGAAAGTTAGGGTGTACTCGATGTTAGCGAGGCTCGATAAGGAAAAGGGATTTTCATTACAATAACCTAAAACCTCTACTACACCTCGTCATATGCTTGCTATACCTGCCATTTGTCGTTTCCACCTGAAGGGGGTCCCAATTCAGCATGACATCCTGGGCGAAACTCCGTGGTAACCAGACACTGCTGAGCTTGTCGTGGCGAATTCAATCTTTCCAAGCTGCTCGTGTCGTAAGCCCCCTCGGCGAACGGGCCCACCTGAAAAAGTGACTTCAGGGGCTTTAACTACAATCCAACATTCAGGCACAGCAGCAGCCTGCCTTGGGAAGTGCAGCGGTGGAGGAACCAAGTGCAAGACGAATTGCGAGAGAAAAAACTCAAAACCCGTAGACAGCAGGGATTGCGGATAGCCGGCGTAGCATTCAGCCGTAGGTTCCGAGGACTATGATTGCTACCTTCTAGGCCACACCTCTTGCGAATTCCCATCAGCGCGCAGCTGATCGGCGCCAGTTCAACCAAGACTCATTACCCATGCGGATTATTATGACCGCATGCAGTGTCATGTCAAGTCGGTGCGTCCTAGCTAGTACTTGATCGAAACTCCTAAGTCGATCTCATGGGGTTCGCGGGAGTCGCGTTTCAGTCGCGCGCGGCGGCGCTGGCGGAGCTGCAGCACTGCCCGCAGTTCCATGACGCCATTCTGACGCTCCGCGACGGCGCCATGTTCTCCATACCGGCCTGCCTGCTCTTCGCGCGAAGCAACTGGTTCCGCCGCGCCTGGGAGGACGCGACCGGCAGCGGCTTCGGAAAGTGTGTTGAGATAACGTTCCCTCCTGTCCCGGGGGGAACGGAGTCGTTCGAGAGCATTCTACAGTACTGCTACGGGTTGCCTGTTAACGCGGATGCCACTAATGCGTTGCAGCTGCTGTGCTGCGCGTCGTTTCTCGAGATGTGCGAGGGTAGCGAGGAGGACTCGCTGCAGCAGCAGGCGTGGCGGTACATTAACGAGCACATTCTTAACGAGTGGGAGGACAGCCTGCGGCTGCTGGAGACTGTAGCGCGGGACGAGCTTATATTGAAGGAGGCGCTGAAGCTCGACCTCCCGCTGCACGCCTCCACGTGCGTCGCAGGCACGTGCACTGCCAGCGGCCCCAGTCCATCCAATCCCTCTGCCTGCTCCGCACATCCCGTCCTCCCCTCCCGCCCCTCTCCCCCTCCCTTCCACTGCCCCCATCTCCCTCCTCTCCTTCCCCATCTCCCTCCTCTCCTTCCCCATCTCCCTCCTCTCCTTCCCCACCACGCCTTTCTCACCTTCCCCCTCCTCCTCCCCATATTCGTCATTAAAAGGTTCCAGATTGTTTATCTCTTTCCCCTCACGCACCTCTCTCCTTCCCATCTCCCCACACCATTCAGCGCCACGCCGTCACGTTGCTGTCATGGCCGGACCCGGTTGCTCGCCCTTTACCACCTGCCACTGTGCTGCCCACCTGCCGTGCACTGTGCTCTCTGCCGTCCACCCTGCTCTCTGCCGCCCACCCTGCTCTCTGCCGCCCATCCTGCTCTCTGCCGCCCACCCTGCTCTCTGCCGCCCACCCTGCTCTCTGCCGCCCATCCTGCTCTCTGCCACCCACCCTGCTCTCTGCCGCCCACCCTGCTCTCTGGCAAGCACAGGACAGATCCTCAAGCGCACGTCGCCCACTGCTTAAGCTCATGTCATGTCCCTCCTTCCCCCCTCTCGCTCAGACAACCCACCCCTGCACACCTCCCTCCGACCATCTGACCGCCGTGCTGTCAAGCCCCTTCCACACACCTTTGCGCCACCAGCTGCTGCCGCCCCTTGCCTGCGTCCACTCTATCAGCAGCCCTTTTCTAACCTCTGTAAACTCGCTGCCAATTCTCATGGCGAGCCCTCTCCCCCCTCCTCTCCATGCCGTCCCGCCCGCCCCCCACAGACCATCTGAGCGCCATGCTCTCAGGCCCCTTCCACACCGCTGACCGCATGGCCTCGCTCCGCCACCTGCTGGCTCGCCTCGCCTGCCTGCCCGCGCCGCTGCTCTCATGCGTCCTGCTGGCGTGCCGGCAGGCCAACGTGAGCTTCGTGCGCATTGGCAACTACCTCGCTGCCGACACGCACACGTGCCTCTTCACCGACATTCCTTCTCTTGCTGCACTCGCAGATACTGCTGCTGCTTCCTCCTCTGCTGCCCTTTCGGGAGCAGGCGCAGCAGCAACAGAAGCAGCAGCTTCCTCAGTGGTACGATCAAGTAGCAGCAATGGGGGAAGGAGGGTGGCGAACGGAGGGGGAGCGAGTGACAAGGTGGTGTGTGAGGAGGATTCAGAGGAGGCAGCGGAGAGGGAGGAGGTGGGCAGGGCGATGCTGTTTGAGTATGCGTGCAGTGAGGCGCTGGAGCACGCAGCAGCGCTGCAGGAGTTGCACCACAGGGCGGCAGCAGCAGCAGGAGGAGGCACGGAAGGGGAAGGCTCCTCTGACTCCACATGTCCGCCACCTGCATCAGCATCTGCAGCAGCGGCACAGCAGCAGCAGCAGCTGTTGAAGAAGCAGCAGCTGGCGGGTGTGAGGTCGAGCACGCGCTACATGCCGTCGGTGCAGTACCTGATTGTGCTTCTGAAGCACTGCGTGACTATACAGGAAGGCCATGAAAGGAGGAGCAGCAACAGGCAAGCCGATCGAATGGGCGGTATTGGTAAGGCAAGAAGCTCAACCTCGTTACAAGGACACTCCCTATCAGGAAAGGAAGAGCAAAGGAATCCAGTGCACAGCAGGGGGGTCCACAAGGTGTCTTCCTCGCAGCGTGGCACCGACAGGGGTACGGGGGGCGGAGCAGGCGCAGCGTACACAGGTCTGAGAGGAACGAAGAGCGACAGTGAGATGCACCCAAGAGGCCGTGCGAGCGAGGAGAGAGAGGGCGCGAGTGTGGGCGAGAGCGTGCGCGTGGGCATGGGGCGGCGCAAGGAGCTGCTGTTCGTGCGCCTGGCGCACCGCGTCACCGCCATGCCCACCGCGCTCTCCCTGGCCGACCTCGTCTTCCTCGGCCCCGCCACCAGCCTGCTGCTCCTGCACTCCCTCCGTGACGCCTCCTTTGCTGCTGCTGCCACGGACCCCTCTCATGCTGCTGCGGCAGGTGTGGGTGGCGGGGTAGAGGGTGGGAGTGTTGGTGGTGGTGCGGGAGGCGGTGGAAGGAGGGGGCCGCCGCTGCCTCATTGGGGTGGCCACCCTGCTGCCTCCCACCCCAGGATCCCCTCCCTCTCCTCCCATGCCGAAATCCACCCGCCTATATCCCCCCTGCCCCCTCTCAATGCTGCCAGCAGCAGAACCACGAGTGCCACCACCCGCCCCGTCCCTGTGCGGCTGGTGGGCTCCCCCGCGGCTGCTCTAGGTGGCGATCTGGTGTGTGACTACGTGCACTACCTCGCCTCACGCATGACCCACCAGTCGGAGCACCACACGTGGCTGCCGTTCCTGCGCCTGTGCCCCGCGTGGCCGGGCCTGTCGAGTTTCCTGGTGGACCTCATCGCCATGCTGCACCTGCTCTTCCCCGCCTGCCACGGCCAGCCCCCCGTGCCCGAGCTGTGGAGCATGGTGGACGTGGGCGCGCTCTCGGACGAGGTGCTGGCTCTCGCTGGGAAGATGTGCCGCGAGGGGGGAAGGGGGGCTGGGGGAGGGGGAATGGGAGGGGAGAGAGGAGAGGGTTGGGGTAGGGGAGGGAGGGAGGCGGGGGGGGGTGGTGGAGTGAGGGGAGTGTGTTGGCACAGCGGGTGGAGAGGGAGAGGAGGGAGAGGGGGGAGAGGGAGGCGGAGGGCGAGAGGGAGAGGGAGAGGGGGTTGCAGGGGCAGGTGGAGCGGGAGAGGCGCGTGCGGCAGGAGCGGGCGCTGCAGCAGGTGGTGCTGGAGCTGGAGAGCGCCAAGGAGACCAGCACGCGCCTCGTCATGCAGAACCTCAAGGTGGGACGACAGGAATGGGCGGGGTTGATACAGTGGGGAGGAACAAGAGCGGCGGTTGGAGGTGTTGTATGTGAGGGAGACAATTGAATCCACCCATGCGGCACGTGGTGTCACACCCTGCTCCACAGGACACCGATCACCACAGGCCTGGGCCCCGACGCCATATCCCAATCCCATGTCGTACTGCAATCCTGCAGCTCGTTCCTTCCCCTGTTCTTCCCTTCCGCTGCGCTTGAGTCGACTCAAAAGCTGTTCTTCCCTTCCGCTTCTCACCTGCACGTGGCATCCCACCCTTCTCACCTGCACGTGGCATCCCACCCTTCTCACCTGCACGTGGCATCCCACCCTTCTCACCTGCACGTGGCATCCCACCCTTCTCACCTGCACGTGGCATCCCACCCTTCTCACCTGCACGTGGCATCCCACCCTTCTCACCTGCACGTGGCATCCCACCCTTCTCACCTGCACGTGGCATCCCACCCTTCTCACCTGCACGTGGCATCCCACCCTTCTCACCTGCACGTGGCATCCCACCCTTCTCACCTGCACGTGGCATCCCACCCTTCTCACCTGCACGTGGCATCCCACCCTTCTCACCTGCACGTGGCATCCCACCCTTCTCACCTGCACGTGGCATCCCACCCTTCTCACCTGCACGTGGCATCCCACCCTTCTCACCTGCACGTGGCATCCCACCCGACCCCATGTGGACGCTTTCCACCGCAGGGGCTTGGAACCCCACACCACTACCCCACACCACTACCCCACACCACTACCCCACACCACTACCCCACACCACTACCCCACACCACTACCCCACACCACTACCCCACACCACTACCCCACACCACTACCCCACACCACTACCCCACACCACTACCCCACACCACTACCCCACACCACTACCCCACACCACTACCCCACACCACTACCCCACACCACTACCCCACACCACTACCCCACACCACTACCCCACACCACTACCCCACACCACTACCCCACACCACTACCCCACACCACTACCCCACACCACTACCCCACACCACTACCCCACACCACACCCCACACCACTACCCCACACCACGACCCCACACCACTACCCCACACCACTACCCCACACCACTACCCCACACCACGACCCCACACCACTACCCCACACCACTACCCCACACCACTACCCCACACCACTACCCCACACCACGACCCCACACCACTACCCCACACCACTACCCCACACCACTACCCCACACCACTACCCCACACCACTACCCCACACCACTACCCCACACCACTACCCCACACCACTACCCCACACCACGACCCCACACCACTACCCCACACCACTACCCCACACCACTACCCCACACCACTACCCCACACCACGACCCCACACCACTACCCCACACCACTACCCCACACCACTACCCCACACCACTACCCCACACCACTACCCCACACCACTACCCCACACCACTACCCCACACCACTACCCCACACCACTACCCCACACCACTACCCCACACCACTACCCCACACCACTACCCCACACCACTACCCCACACCACTACCCCACACCACTACCCCACACCACTACCCCACACCACTACCCCACACCACTACCCCACACCACTACCCCACACCACTACCCCACACCACTACCCCACACCACTACCCCACACCACTACCCCACACCACTCCCACACCACTACCCCACACCACTACCCCACACCACTACCCCACACCACTACCCCACACCACTACCCCACACCACTACCCCACACCACTACCCCACACCACTACCCCACACCACTACCCCACACCACTACCCCACACCACTACCCCACACCACTACCCCACACCACTACCCCACACCACTACCCCACACCACGACCCCACCTTTCTCATCCCTGCCTCTCCCCCTCGCCATGCCCCTACCCCTCTCCAATCCCCCCCCCTGCAGGACGTGGTGTCAGACCCGGCTCCGTGGGAGACGTTCCATCTCCGTTGACTGGACCCAGACGTCATGATTGACATTGATGGAGTCACGTGGTCTTTACGGCCCTTCCATGCCTCACTCTCCCCCTCTCACCAGGACGTGGTGTCGGACCCGGCCCCCTGGGAGACGTTCCACCTGAGGGGGCTGGACCCGGACGTCATCATCGACATTGACGGGGTGACGTGGGCGCTGCACCGGCACGTCGTGGAGCCACACTGCCCGCTCATCAAGTCCCTCCTCCCCGCCGCCGCCGCTGCTGCTGCTGCCGCCAGCCCCCTCTCCCCGTCTCTCTCCCCGACCCATCCCTCTGCCACGGACGATCTGCACCATTTCGCGCACCTCTCGCTGGCCACCAGCCTGCCCATCATTGCGCTGCGTGCCTTCCCCGGCGGCCCGCGTGCGTTCAACATCGTGGCCAAGTGGTGCTACGGCTCGCGCCCCAACCTGTCCGCCAGCCAGGCTGCCGGCGTGCTCTTCGCTGCTCGCTTCCTCGGTGCGTCTCTTGTTCCTCAAGGTCTCAGTTATCTCTGCCGATGTATGATTTTCGGAGGCTGTGTGAGTGTGCTGCAATGATCCACGAGTGTCTTGCCTTGATCCTCTGCCGTGCCAATGAGGCTTTGGTACAGCACCCACCTGTATTCCGCCTACCACACACTCCAGTGAGCGCCTCTCATTTGTCTGCCTCGTCCCTGCCGCCGTTTGTGTCTTTCCTGATCCCCAGGCATGGACGACCGGGGAGAGCAGGCGCTGATACCGGTGGCAGTGCGCGCGGTGACGGGGGGCTTGTCGGATGGGTGGCAGGCGTGCTTTGACATCCTGGACCGCTGCTACCACGACAGAGTTTTGGACGCGCTGGTGGTGGAGTTCAGCCTCAACCGCCACTTCGTCGACTCCGCCTGTGGTAAGTGCTTTGCTGTGCTTCACATGACATGTGGTGGGTGCTGCTGTGCTGGCTAGGCTCATGTGCTTGGGGCTAGGCTCATGTGCTTGGGGCTAGGCTCATGTGCTTGGGCTAGGCTCATGTGCTTGGGGTTAGGTGCGAGTGCTTGGGGCTAGGTTCGAGTGAGTGAGGGCGAGGCTAAAGAGTACGTATTCAGTATTCAGTATTCAGTGCAATTGATGCAGTGCATGCCGACAGACAAGATTGTGCTTCACCGCTTTGGACCTCGAGGCACCCACATGGACCATGGAAAAACGAAATGAAGGCATTTTCTTCGGTTACGTGCTGATCTGTGCTCTCAAGCTGAAGCCGTATCTTCCTCTCCCACGCCTTCTTCTCTTCCTCTCCCTCACCCTCTCCCATCGCCCCCCTCCCCCCTCCCCCCCCCCCCACCAGGCGCCATTCTGAAGCTGGAGTCGAAGCTGGTGGGGTTTGGGCGGTGGGGCAACGAGGACTGGACCATGGTGAACCGGCTGCTGGAGGGGATGAACAAGCTGCCTCCCGCCATCAGCATCAAGGTGGTGCAGCAGCTCTGGGACCTGCGCCGCTCCCACTGGGCCTCCGTGTGCCGCACGCCCTGCACCCACCCCACCAAGGAGCACCCGGGCATCAATGCCATGGCTACTGTTGGAAGCTTTTTGCTAAGCGTCACTTTGCTGAGTAAGATCGAGTGGCGGAAGCAGCAGCAGGAGGAGGAGGCAAAGAAGGTGGGGCAAGGTTCCGTCAACGGTGCTAACAGCAGCCCCAGCCCGGCAGCAGGATCTTCTCCTTCCCAGGCGCTATCCAGCAGCAGTGTGCGATCCCGGCCGCAGCCCCCATACGACAACATTCTGTGGATGCTGCGCATTTTGAAGCTCTTCATCTCGCCGCCCTTGGACCGCCCCATCCTGGTGGTGCTGAGCGACAACATCCCCCTCCTGGAGGTGCAGCACCTGCAGTTCCTCGACCTGCCCGCCTGCAGCGCCCTCTTCACCCTCGTGTCCGCCGCCCCCCGGGAAGACCCCGAGCTTGTCGCGGCAGGTGAGCTCCTCGACTCATACCTCATAGCGGCGGGCTCCAAGCGCAACCCCCCCATCTCGCCCGATGACTTCCGGTCGTTGGTCACACGCCTGCCGCCGGAGGCCCGGCCGACGCACGACCTGCTGTTTGAGGCAGTGTGCGCGTACGCGGAGGCGGACCCCCGCCCCGCCACATGTAACTTGTTGTCCGTCGTGGAGTGTGGCCGCCTCACGCCCCGGTGCTTACGCCTGGCGGCCTCTGCTGCTGCTTCCATGGACTTTGGGCAGTCTGCCGTGGCGGGGTTCTGGCTGTTCATGGTGTCGCTGCTGCGCGCGCTCATGTATGAAGGCTAGCATGATGAGTGTTGCGCTGGCGCCTTGTGTTGTAAAGAGCTAGTGGAGTGAGGTTAAGAATACAGCACAAGTAACTGGTTATGGTTAGATAAACAACTGAGTACTAGTATTACGGCATATCACTTGTTTTGGCACTATTTATCAATCTTGTAGGTGATATATTGACCCATCTACACTCCTTACTAGGTCTAACGAGAGTAGCAGCCTTTGATGGTGTAGTGTGTTGATGCGCTATATGAGATGCGAACGTAATCAAGACTGAGTATTGCATCCTGCACAGGTAAAAAGAGGCAGAAATCCCACTTCGCCGCAGGGACGCTGTCCACCCTCATCGGGGAAGCACGCGTGACCTGCACTTCACCGCGCGGTTCCAAACGGCCTTTCGATCGCACCGTCGCGCCGGCAGGCATAGGTATGGTACCTCCCTCCGTCCGCGCGGGTTCGCACCTTTCGTTTCATACGTACTAGTCAAGGGTGTAGCGCGAGCGTGCGTACTGGCAGCGCAGTGTGCTGGCGAGAACCCCCCCCGTACGAGGCTCGGCGGAACCTTTATCAGGTGGCGCTGACGCGACGAGCCTGCCTCCGCCGCGCGGGCAGACGCGGGAATGGCGGCGGAGCGGGCGGTGATCACAGGGGCGGGGGGGGGCGAGGAGGAGTGGGACGACGACGTGCCTCTGGGGGGCTCCTTCGGCGGCGTCTCTGGCGCAGCTCGTGCTGCTTCCGCCCCGCGGATCCCTCCGCCAGGGCTCGGCGCGGGCGGTAGGGGCATCGGCGGAAGAGGAGTCGGTGGACGGGGGAGCGGCGGGGGCGGAAGGGGGGGAATGGAAAGAGTGGGTGTAGGCTTGGCACAGGCGCTAGCTGCGCGCCCTCAGACTCCCCCGGGTACGTTCCGCGGAATGCTTCCGGCCATTCCGCCCAATCCCCTGGGGGAATCGCCGTTCCCCCGCCCGCCCGCTGGTTCCGCCAATACAAGCCAGCGCGCTCCTGCTAGCCATGCCAGGGCCGGCCATCCTGCCGGCCAACCTGCCAGCCGTCCGGCTAAAATTAGGGTTGGGGGGATGGGAGGAGGGGGAATAGGCGAGTATGGGGATGACCTGGGGGGTTTGAGCGGGATGGGGAGCAGGGGGGAGAGGCCAGGGGGAGGCGGAGTGGGGGGTGGAGGGGGGAGAGGAGATGCAATGGGGGACTTGGTGGGTGATTGGGGGAGGGTTGAAGGGGAGCAGCAGCAGCACCAGGTGGAGCAGCAGCAGGTGGAGCAGCAGCAGGTGGAGCAGCAGCAGGTGGAGCAGCAGCAGGTGGAGCAACAGCAGGTGGAGCAGCGGTATAGTGAGGAGCAGGGCGAGCAGGAGGGGGAAGCAGGGGACGACTCGGAGGAGGACTTACCGCTCAACAGGCACAGGGGCGCGCCGCATGGCGCAGATGTGGGGGAGATGGGGGGACTGGGGGGGAGGGGCGCAGGGGGAGGGATGGCTGGGCGGGTGAGGGGGCGGGGGAGAGGAAGAGGGGGAGGAGGAAGGGGGGGCGGAGGAAGGGGAGGCGGCGATAGCTTGGAAGGGGAAGCAGGCGCGTCTCCCTTCCCCCTCAAGCGCAAGCCCAGCGGCCCCCTGCCGCCACCCCCCCACCCAGCCATGCGGCAGAAACAAGCCCTTTCAGAACATGAGGATGCTTATAACGGAGATGATTATGAAGGAGGCGAGTTTATGGCGAGTGAAGGCGCCCTTGCAAGCGCGTCTGGTAGCCCGGGAAAGGGACTGGGGAGCGGGCGGGGCAGGGGCAGGGGGAGAGGACGGGGGAGGCTTGGGGGAAGGGCAGCGGAGGGTGGGGGGGCGGAAAGGGCAGGGAAGGGAGGCCAAGCAGGAGAATGGGGAGGAGGTGGGCAGGGTGAAGCGCAAGGTGGGGGGAGGGGTGTTCTGTCGCCCGGCAGGGGCAGGGGGAGAGGCAGGGGAAGGGGGAGGGGAAGGGGGAGAGGGAGGGGGAGAGCAGGGAGTTTTGCAGGGAGGGGGGAGAGTGAGGAGGAGACATATCTGGGTGGGGAATTGGCGGAGGGGAGTGGGTACGACCATGAGACGGAGCACGCTTATGGGGACCCCTATGCGGATACCTACAGCGAGTCAGCAGCGGCACAGAGGGAGGCGGTGCCCAGGCGGCTGCGGCTGACTGAGGACCCGCACTCGCCTCCCCCCCGGCCCCCGCCATCCACACCGCCAGCAGCAGCAGAGTCAGGGCGAGCAGCCGTGGGCACAGTGGCAAAGCATATTGTGCAGAGGCAGCAGACGGAGCCAGAGCAAGAGCAAGAGGCTGGCATGGACAGTGCTTCCGACCCATCTGCTTCCCTTCCTGCTCGGTTCGCTGCTGCTATCACCGCTGCTGCAGCAGGCGGCTCACTGGCGGACGAATCAGCAGCCATCGCTGCAGCGCTGCCCGCACCCAAGGCCTGGGATCAGCCCAGCCTGGACAGGATCTCGACCGTTGATCGCGAGGAGAGGATCCGAGGGCTGGAGTCGCGGTGTCTGGACCAGTGCGTGCAGCTGTGCCGCGACCTCATCGTGCGGCAGCGGCTGTGGCACCAGGTGGGGAGGGAGGGGGGGGGGGGGGTGTGGGGGGCGGCTGTGGCACCAGGTGGGGAGGGAGGGGGGGGGGGGGGTGTGGGGGGCGGCTGTGGCACCAGGTGGGGAGGGAGGGGGGGGGGGGGTGTGGGGGGGGAGGGTGGCGGGGAGAGCAGGTGGGTGTGATTTGATGAACGGGAGATGAATCTCCACAGGTGTCACATGGCTTGACAAGCCTCCAAAGCGGACCAGTGCGTGCAGCTGTGCCGCGTGCCGTCGCCTGATTGTGTGCCAGTGACTCTGATTGTGTGCCAGCGACTCTGATTGTGTGCCAGCGACTCTGATTGTGTGCCAGCGACTCTGATTGTGTGCCAGCGACTCTGATTGTGTGCCAGCGACTCTGATTGTGTGCCAGCGACTCTGATTGTGTGCCAGCGACTCTGATTGTGTGCCAGCGACTCTGATTGTGTGCCAGCGACTCTGATTGTGTGCCAGCGACTCTGATTGTGTGCCAGCGACTCTGATTGTGTGCCAGCGACTCTGATTGTGTGCCAGCGACTCTGATTGTGTGCCAGCGACTCTGATTGTGTGCCAGCGACTCTGATTGTGTGCCAGCGACTCTGATTGTGTGCCAGCGACTCTGATTGTGTGCCAGCGACTCTGATTGTGTGCCAGCGACTCTGATTGTGTGCCAGCGACTCTGATTGTGTGCCAGCGACTCTGATTGTGTGCCAGCGACTCTGATTGTGTGCCAGCGACTCTGATTGTGTGCCAGCGACTCTGATTGTGTGCCAGCGACTCTGATTGTGTGCCAGCGACTCTGATTGTGTGCCAGCGACTCTGATTGTGTGCCAGCGACTCTGCTTGTGTGCCAGCGACTCTGATTGTGTGCCAGCGACTCTGATTGTGTGCCAGCGACTCTGATTGTGTGCCAGCGACTCTGATTGTGTGCCAGCGACTCTGATTGTGTGCCAGCGACTCTGATTGTGTGCCAGCGACTCTGATTGTGTGCCAGCGACTCTGATTGTGTGCCAGCGACTCTGATTGTGTGCCAGCGACTCTGATTGTGTGCCAGCGACTCTGATTGTGTGCCAGCGACTCTGATTGTGTGCCAGCGACTCTGATTGTGTGCCAGCGACTCTGATTGTGTGCCAGCGACTCTGATTGTGTGCCAGCGACTCTGATTGTGTGCCAGCGACTCTGATTGTGTGCCAGCGACTCTGATTGTGTGCCAGCGACTCTGATTGTGTGCCAGCGACTCTGATTGTGTGCCAGCGACTCTGATTGTGTGCCAGCGACTCTGATTGTGTGCCAGCGACTCTGATTGTGTGCCAGCGACTCTGATTGTGTGCCAGCGACTCTGATTGTGTGCCAGCGACTCTGATTGTGTGCCAGCGACTCTGATTGTGTGCCAGCGACTCTGATTGTGTGCCAGCGACTCTGCTTGTGTGCCAGCGACTCTGATTGTGTGCCAGCGACTCTGATTGTGTGCCAGCGACTCTGATTGTGTGCCAGCGACTCTGATTGTGTGCCAGCGACTCTGATTGTGTGCCAGCGACTCTGATTGTGTGCCAGCGACTCTGATTGTGTGCCAGCGACTCTGATTGTGTGCCAGCGACTCTGATTGTGTGCCAGCGACTCTGATTGTGTGCCAGCGACTCTGATTGTGTGCCAGCGACTCTGATTGTGTGCCAGCGACTCTGGCAGGCACCAGGCAGGTTTGAGCGTGGTAGCAGATTTATTGCCTACATGTCTCCAATGCCGCCATCGGCTGGATAAGCCTGTGGCTCCTTCTCCCCTCCTCCCCTCTTCTCCTTCTCCCCTCCTCCCCTCTTCCCCTTCTCCCCTCCTCCCCTCTTCTCCTTCTCCCCTCCTCCCCTCTTCTCCTTCTCCCCTCCTCCCCTCTTCCCCTTCTCCCCTCCTCCCCTCTTCCCCTTCTCCCCTCCTCCCCTCTTCTCCTTCTCCCCTCCTCCCCTCTTCTCCTTCTCCCCTCCTCCCCTCTTCTCCTTCTCCCCTCCTCCCCTCTTCTCCTTCTCCCCTCCTCCCCTCTTCCCCTTCTCCCCTCCTCCCCTCTTCCCCTTCTCCCCTCCTCCCCTCTTCTCCTTCTCCCCTCCTCCCCTCTTCCCCTTCTCCCCTCCTCCCCTCTTCCCCTTCTCCCCTCCTCCCCTCTTCTCCTTCTCCCCTCCTCCCCTCTTCCCCTTCTCCCCTCCTCCCCTCTTCTCCTTCTCCCCTCCTCCCCTCTTCTTCTTCTCCCCTCCTCCCCTCTTCCCCTTCTCCCCTCCTCCCCTCTTCTCCTTCTCCCCTCCTCCCCTCTTCCCCTTCTCCCTCCTCCCCTCTTCCCCTTCTCCCCTCCTCCCCTCTTCTCCTTCTCCCCTCCTCCCTCTTCCCCTTCTCCCCTCCTCCCCTCTTCCCCTTCTCCCCTCCTCCCCTCTTCTCCTTCTCCCCTCCTCCCCTCTTCCCCTTCTCCCCTCCTCCCCTCTTCTCCTTCTCCCCTCCTCCCCTCTTCTCCTTCTCCCTCCTCCCCTCTTCCCCTTCTCCCCTCCTCCCCTCTTCTCCTTCTCCCCTCCTCCCCTCTTCCCCTTCTCCCCTCCTCCCCTCTTCCCCTTCTCCCCTCCTCCCCTCTTCTCCTTCTCCCCTCCTCCCCTCTTCTCCTTCTCCCCTCCTCCCCTCTTCCCCTTCTCCCCTCCTCCCCTCTTCTCCTTCTCCCCTCCTCCCCTCTTCCCCTTCTCCCCTCCTCCCCTCTTCTCCTTCTCCCCTCCTCCCCTCTTCCCCTTCTCCCCTCCTCCCCTCTTCTCCTTCTCCCCTCCTCCCCTCTTCCCTTCTCCCTCCTCCCCTCTTCTCCTTCTCCCCTCCTCCCCTCTTCCCCTTCTCCCCTCCTCCCCTCTTCTCCTTCTCCCCTCCTCCCCTCTTCCCCTTCTCCCCTCCTCCCCTCTTCTCCTTCTCCCCTCCTCCCCTCTTCTCCTTCTCCCCTCCTCCCCTCTTCTCCTTCTCCCCTCCTCCCCTCTTCTCCTTCTCCCCTCCTCCCCTCTTCCCCTTCTCCCCTCCTCCCCTCTTCTCCTTCTCCCCTCCTCCCTCTTCCCCTTCTCCCTCCTCCCCTCTTCTCCTTCTCCCCTCCTCCCTCTTCTCCTTCTCCCCTCCTCCCCTCTCCCCTTCTCCCCTCCTCCCCTCTTCCCCTTCTCCCCTCCTCCCCTCTTCTCCTTCTCCCCTCCTCCCCTCTTCCCCTTCTCCCCTCCTCCCCTCTTCTCCTTCTCCCCTCCTCCCCTCTTCTCCTTCTCCCCTCCTCCCCTCTTCTCCTTCTCCCCTCCTCCCCTCTTCCCTTCTCCCCTCCTCCCTCTTCTCCTTCTCCCCTCCTCCCCTCTTCTCCTTCTCCCCTCCTCCCCTCTTCTCCTTCTCCCCTCCCTCCCCTCTCCCCTCCCCCTCTTCTCCTTCTCCCCTCCTCCCCTCTTCCCCTTCTCCCCTCCTCCCCTCTATATATATATCTATACAACATGCATGCCTAGATTAGGAGGTGTAGTCATTATAATTATTGGGGGGTTGTTGGTTGGGTTGACCAACCCCACATTTGGGTTGGTCAAGATTGGATTTGGTCCTAGACATTTGGTTGGCACTATTCCAACCAAATGGTCCTTGGTCCTAGGAACCAACCAATCACCAAGCACCACACTTTGTGGTTGCTTGCCTTCCAAGCAATCTCTCTCATTGGTCCGCTTTGTGGCCAATCGGAGAGCACCACACTTTGTGGTTGCTTGCCCTACAAGCAACCTCTCCCATTGGTCCACTTTATGGCCAAATGGGAGAGCTTCCCCTCCAACTCTTCTTGCTCCTTGTTTTGTACAAAAGAGCCTTTTGGCTCCCTACTCAATTCAATCTTTTCTCTTCCAAGCTACTTCCTTCATGGTATTCAGAGCCACAATGGCTCACGCCACCTCTAGTCGATCCTAACTAGCACGGCCCTATGCCGTCCCTCCTCGTCTTCGAAGTCTAGCCCTTCCTTAGGCTACTTCCCGTGCCCCCCGTGCGCCCTCTCTTGCGCGCTACTCCGTCGCGCCCGATCTTCCTCCCGTCGCGCGCCTTCTACCACGCCCGCTCTCCCTTCCGCCGTGCGCCTCCCGTCGCGCCTGACGACGCGCTTGTGGCCGTCGCATTCTCCTATTGCGCCCGTTGGTGCGCTCCTCCGTCGCGCGGCCCGTCGTCGCGCCCTCCCGTCGCGCCCTCCCGTCGCGCGCCCTCCGCGTTTGCGCGCACCCGTCCGTCGCGGTCTCCCGCGCACGCCCGTCGACAAATCCTCCCACCGCACCCGTCGACTCTCTGCCGCCGCGCGCGCACGGCCATCGGTCGATTTCTCCGCCGCGCACGGCCGCTTGCGTCGATTCCGCAGTCGCGTGCACCCGATCGTCGCGCCATTTCGGCGTGCAGCCGGCCGCCGCATCTTCCTTGGAGCCTTCGGCGACTTAAGAGCTGCGCTCCGCGCACCTATGCTTCTCCTCCCTCCCCCCCTTTTTTTCCTCCTCCTTTCCTTTTCCTCCTCCCCCCCACCTTCCTTCCCCTCCTCCTCCTCAATGGCGTCCGATTCCTCGGTGGACCTTACCTCCGTCGACGCTCTTGAGCTGCTGCCCGACAACACAGCGGTCAATTGGCATTCCTATGCCCAAACCGTCACGGTGCTTCTCTCCTCGGTGACGGTCAACGGCTACAACCTGAAAGCCGTTGTCCATCTCGAGGAGCGCGGTCTTCAGCCTGCCCAGTCGGATGCTCCCGCGGGCCCTGCACCTCCTCCTCCTGGCGATGCTCCCGTCAGCCCCGGCGATCCTCCAACCTTCGCCCCTGATGTCAACGACCCTCAGAGCTCCGAGACCGCCATCCGCACCTACCGTGCCGGCCTCACCGACCACGTCCGCCAGCAGCTGCTCTTCGAGGCTTCCAGCGCCGAGCATGACGCCGCCACTGCCGCCTACAACACGTATCAGGCGACGCTCGCGGAGTACGTCAGGCGCGAGCGCGCATACATCACCGACCTCGCTGCC